AATATTTTAAGCCCTCCACTGGTCCTTCATACTGCTACCCACCCCTCCAGATCCTACCCTAGGCATGCAGCGGCACATAGTCCATCCGTCCGGATCCCCCCTGTCCAGGCCTGGGAGCCTCTGGACGCCCCACTTACCTGTCCTCCAGCTGAAGGAGCCTCTCCTCCGCTCCCTGCCCTAGTAGCACCAGACACCACTGCCCTCTGGTGTGCCAGCCAGAGAATCTCGTGGACGGTGGGGTCTCCCAACGTCCACCAAGTCTCCCCACCTGCACCCCCTATTCTAGCTCTCCCCTGTGTGATTTCCCCAGCTGTATCCCCATTCCCACCCACCCAATGTGCATCAGTGGGGTCTCCCTACCTTTGCCCCCCATTCCCACCCACCCAATGTGCTTCAGTGGGGTCTCCCTACCTGTGCCCCCCATTCCCACCCCACAGTGATATCTGCTCCCCTGCCAGTGTGTGTTTGCAGTTCCCCCCAATATCAGGCCCCATGTGATGCACATTACCTTTGCCCACTTAGGGTGCCTCATGCCTCCCCTCTCCCTGCCCAACTCTCCTGTCCCCCGCTTTCTGGAGGGTCCACACCCTGGCCTCCCCTTGGTCCTTCTCGCTCTTTGTGGCCTCCCAGGCCCAGACCCACATCTCCCCAGCTCCTGCGGGGTCCCTCACCTTGTGCACCCAGATGTCCCCAGGCCCCCCAGCAGGAGCCGGCTTCTCCCTGGGGATCCACACTTGGTCAGGATCTGTGGGGCTCTCTCCTCCTCCACCACAGGTTCCCCTCGAAGCCCACCTGCCCTGGGCACCCCAGAGAGGCAACCCAGTCGCTGGGGAGCCCTTGATATGCTTGCGGGGCACCCAGACCTCAACAGGGCCCTGCCCACCTGCCCGGGCCCCCTGCCTCCATTCCCTATGGATCCAGACTGCTTCTCCCTGGCCACCCCCCACCGGGACCCTCTGCAGCCCTTTCCTCAGGGGTGGATCCCGCTTAGGCCCCATTTGCCTCAAAGACTCCTGGGTCTCCACAGCCCCTAATTCAGCCCCCCTCAATCTGCTGTGACCCTGGGACTCCCCCCTCACTGCACCCCTAGACTCCTGGGTCCCCACAGCCCCTAGCTCAGCCCCCCTCAATCCGCTGTGACCCTGGGATTCCCCCCTCACTGCACCCCCAGACTCCTGGGTCCCCACAGCCCCTAGCTTGGCCCTCCTCAATCCCACATGACCCTGGGGCTCCGCCCTCACTGCACCCCCAGACTCCTGGGTCTCCACAGTCCCTAGCTTGGCCCTCCTCAATCCCACATGACCCTGGGGCTCCGCCCTCACTGCACCCCCAGACTCCTGGGTCCCCACAGCCCCTAGCTCAGCCCCCTCAATCCGCTGTGACCCTGGGATTCCCCCATCACTGCACCCCCAGACTCCTGGGTCTCCACAGCCCCTAGCTCAGCCCCCCTCAATCCGCTGTGACCCTGGGATTCCCCCATCACTGCACCCCCAGACTCCTGGGTCCCCACAGCCCCGGGCTCAGCCTCCCCATGACCTGGGCCTTCCCTCTCCGGGCCCCTCGCCCCTCTCACTGGACCCCCGCTCTCCTGGGTCTCCACGTCCCGTGCTGGGGCCCCCCTCCCCTGGGCTCCCTCGGGACCCCCCATCCCCAGCTCTCACCTCCTCTCCAGACCCCCGCTCCAAACCCCTCTGCGCAGCCGCCGGCAGCTCCCACTTCCTGATTGGCCAGGCCCGGAAGCCGCCCTGGGGGCCGCCATCTTTCCCATCACGTGACCAGAGCAGCTCTGTGTCACGTGACCAGATGCAAGGGCAGTTACGTCTGGCTGCTGGCGGCGCAAAATGGCGTCCATCGGGGGGTGGGGTTCAGCCCTCAGGGAGATGTTCTGTGACCTCAGATAACCTTATATGGCTCTTTGACCCCATGTGACCCCTGACCCCATGTGACCATCACTGACCCCAGGACCCCGATGGCTCATGGCGACTCCTGCCCCCCAAGTCCCAGAGCCCCCCCCACCAACCCCATGCCCCTGCCTTGGCCCAGCCATTTTCCTGCTCTGTGTCCCCATCTCTAGTGACCCTTGTCATCCATCAGTATCTCCCAGGATCTGCCCCAGCTCCTGCGATCCCCCAAGACCCTCTTCCTGACCCCCCCCCACCCACACATTTATTGGGGCTCACCCCCTCAGTCTGTCCCAGGGCCAGAGGAGAAATGGCACCTTCCCCACATGGCCATGCCCATTATGCCCACTAGGGGGTGCCAGTGCCCCATGACAGAGCTGGAGGGATAGGGCTTGGTGGGAGGGGAGGGTGCTCCCCCTTTCTCTTTCCCTTTCCTTTTCCAGTGCCAAGTGCCCACCTGTCTTGCTGGGGTGCAGGGGTGACAGGGCTGGATTTGATGCTTCCCCTGTCTGGGGCAGGCTGTTGGCACCATTCACTCAGTGCCCAGGCAGTGGGGGGTGGCTGGCTGGGGTGGTAAGATGAAGGCAACAGGTTTATGGGGGGTCTCATTATTGCCCTCAGAGGTGCCTGACACAAAGGGGTTAACATCACCATCCAGCTCGGTCCCTGGCATCGTTGGGGCCTGCAGGGCTGTGCTGCTCCCTCCTGGAATCCCAGAGGGCATTTGGCCAGAAGATGGGTTGATTAGATGAGATCTGAGGTCTCTGCCATAGCTATGCGCCAGTTGCAAACTAGGGTGGTGGTAATTATAGCTTACGTAAGCCAAACACAACCTTCCTGGCCCTGGGTATTGCTGGAGACCCTGATGTCTGGGCTGTACCACACCCAACCTGAATTCAGACCCCGGCATCCAGGTCATGATACCCCTGTCCTGGCTTTTGGGCATCCAAGCCATGACACTATTCTGGATTTGGACCCTGGCATCCGAGTCATGACACCTTTGTCCTGGCTTCAGACACTGGTGTCTGGGCTGCTTTGGCTTGAGCCCTCTTCCATTTGCCCAGGGCTGTTGCCCCAGCCCCCTTTGTTTTTGATCCCAAGGCTCTCAAGCCCTGTCCCCCTCACCCATGGGTCTTGCCTTGTGAGGCGAGTGATGTGTAGGTTGGGGAGCCCAGGGCTGGGTTAGCAGGGGGCTGTGGGTCAGGATTGAGAAACACTGGTACAGCTGGGGTGGAGGGTAGCCCCGTATTTCTGTGCCCTGCCAGCTGCATGGCACCCCCACTTGGCCAGCATGGAGTACACTCTGCAGCAGTGCCAATGCCTAGACCCTGGCTCATTTCCCCACTGGCCTTGGCCAGGGGTTGGGGGGTTGTGTCTCAGGGGGATGAGGGGGGGGCTGCCTGGGGAGCCAGCCAAGCCCCCCTCAGGACTCTCCAAATATTGACTTTCCTGAGGGCTCTGACTGGGACCAAAGTGCGGCCAGTATGGATATCAGCTGGGCAGGAGCCGTGGGGGGAAAGCCCAGTGCCCTGGCAGTCTTCAACCCCTTGATAGAACCCAGGAGTCCTGGGTCCCCAAACACTAGACTCCGCTCCCCTCCCAGAGCCAGGATAAAACTCAGGAGTCCTGGCTCCCAGTCCTCCCCCAATGGGGCACGGTGCCATCTCTCTCGCTGCCCTCTTGCTCATGGGAGGGCTGGGGGGTGTTTATGTCTCAGGTTGCACTTAGTGCCTCTGGGGTCAAAGTCGCCCCTCCACCCCTCCCCCTGCCATTTCCTGGAGCTTCTGGGTGGGGGCAAAGTCTGGAGGCAGCGGGTGCAGGACAAACAAGCGGGTGCAGGACAAACAAGCAGCCCTGACTCTCCAGCTCCCTGCATCTGCCTCACACCTTCCCATCCTGAGTTGGGACCCTGGTATCCGGGCTGCCCTGCCCCCAGCCTGGCTTGGAACCCCAGTCTGGCTTGAGGGCCCAGTGTCAGGGCAACAGCACCCCTCCAGCCTGGTGTGAGACCCTGGCATTCAGGACCCTGTCCCCTGCCTGGCTTGGGCCCCTGGTGTGCAGGCTGCACTGTTTCTGGAGTCAGACCCCACCTGCTGAGGATTCCTGACCCCTTGCCTTTGGACCCCAGATCCTTATGGCACCTCCTGCCTATGGCCCTGCCCCCCCCCCTCCCCATCCCAAGCAGCTTACGTGCACCAGAGCCCATGGACTGATAAGGGATTGGCAGCGAGTGCTCAGCTATGGGCCCTCTGCCAGGCTGCGCAGTTCCTTATCGGCCAGAGGCCATGCCCCCACCACCCCCAGGCTCCCTGAGGCCATGGCATGGGTGGGAGGGCAGAAGCTTGCCCTCAGATCCCCCCCCCCCCTCCTGACCAGCCATTGGATTCTGGGAGTTTATCCAGCTGGAATCAACACATCAGAGCCACAGAGTGGGGTTGAGTGGTTAGAGCAGGGGGTCTGGGAGTCAGAACTCCTGGATTCTAGCCCTAGCTCCATCCATGTGAGACTTTGGGCCATCCTTCCCCCATCTGTGTGCCTCAGTTCCCCCTGCTGGGTGGCAAGGGCACCCTGCCTCCTCTGTGCGAATATGTAGGAATCGGGTTTAGCCCCACATTTTGCTGAAATAGCAGCCATTTCAGCACCTGTAGAAGCCCAGGGCAGATGAGGCAAGGTGGGCGAGTGGCACATATAGGGGGAGAACAGGCCAAGGTGGCACAGGCAGAGCTGTGAGCCTGGTGTCCTGGCTCCTGCCCCTCCTGCTCTAACCACGAGACCCCACTCCCCTCACAGAGCTGGGGATAGAGCCCAGGAGTCTTGAATCCCAGCCCCTGCCAGCTCTAACCCACTAGACCTCACTCCCCTCTGAGAGTGGGGATGGAGCCCCAGAGCTCTCACCCTTGCACTCTTCCCCTTTGTAGGTGTATGATGTGCCCTGATCCCTGCCCCTCCCCCTCCCTAGTACCTAGGAAGCCTGCTCTTGGGCACAAGCTGTGAGGGAGTGGGGCGGGGGGGGGGGCAGCGGAGCTGGGCTCATCCATGAGCTGCCCCCAATCCCTGTGTTACATGTGGCTCACACAGGCAGGTGTTGGCTCTGCCAGGATCCACCCCCTCCCTTTTCCCCAGGGCTGCAGCCTGGTCATGAAGTGCAGCACGTCTCTGTGGGCAATGCCAGCACTGGCCCATTCACTGGTGTTGGGAACTAGACTGACAGCTCTGCACGCTCCCAAGGGAGGGGGACAGGCCCCAGAGCCAGGAAGGGAATCCCCCACATATTCCCTCCATCCTGTTCTCTGATGGGTCTCAATGCTGACCTACAGCCCCTTGCTAGCCCAGCCCTGGGCGCCCCACCCCCACAGCTCTGCCCATGCCCCTCAATCCTGACCCACAGCTCACTGCTAGCCCAGCCCTGGGCGCCCCACCCCCACAGCTCTGCCCATGCCTCTCAATCCTGACCCACAGCCCCTTGCTGGCCCAGCCCACCTGTTTTTCCAGTATCCCCACATAGAACATCAACTGCATCTCATGCTTTACCAGCACCTTGTGTTTCCAAAGGATTCCAAACTATGGCACTTGTACAGACAGGAATCCCCTGCCCAGTACCAAGATGGAGCCACCTCTGGGGTGGGGCGTGGATGCTCTTTATAGAGGGATTCCTCACCTGGTGCTGAGATGCAGCCACCTCTGGACTGGGGTGCCGGGGGTGGGGCTCTTTATAGAGGGATCCCTTGCCTGGCACTGAGATGCAGCCGCCTCTAGGATGGAGCAGTAATTTTTCCACACACACCAAGCATGAAGGAGCCCTCAGCCCTGGGGTGAAGAGCTCATGGGTGTAAAGGCTGCCACATGTTTGTGGAGCATGAATGAAGGCCGGCTCAAAGGTGAAAGGCCAATAACCCCCAAGGATTCCCTCTCCACCCCTCCTCCCCTCCACAACAGAGGACCTCCTCCAGCGAGGACCTCCCCAGCCAGTGCAGTATATAGGGCGCCCCACGGAACAGCAGCCCCTTCCAATCCGGCGAGTCCTGAGAGTGGGGCACGCTCCCTCGACCCCTATAGGTGTTTGCAGGGGTCGTGCGCTCACAGCTCTGCGGGCCGTCATGTCTCATCCGTTTAATAGCTTTAGAGCCGGATACCAATGTGCGGGCAGTTACAGCAGCAGGACGTGCCCCGGGAGGGTCCTCGAGCTGGTGCTCAGCCTCCCCTTGGCTCCGGCAGGGAAACGGGGTTTGGTCCGGGGGGATGGAGAGGAAGGTGAGGGCAAGTATTAAATTAAAAGGGTTTGGGGATGAGCGGGGCAGTGAGGGGTGTGTGTGGAACTTTAAATAACGACGAGGGGATGAGAGTCTGACCAGCAGAGCTGGGGCGGCCTTGGTGGGCATCAAAGGAATCTGGGAGCCGGAGTCCTGGAGGGGCCTCAGGATCTGGACCCCAATCCTGGAGGGGCCCTGAAATCCATCTGCCCTAGTCTCGGAGGGGCCCCGGGATCTGGCTGCCCCAGTCCACGAGAGGCCGTGCAAGATGCAGCCCCTCCTGACAGGTCCTGTCCAGGCAGTGAATAATGGGGTCTGACCCCCCAACATGGTCCCAGGAGTCCTCTCATCAGGTCCATTCCAGGGCAGCCTTGCTCGTCTTCCTTGGGCTCCTCTCCAGCAGGGGGCACTCAGGGCCAAAGTCTTGTTCTGGATCCAATGAAGAGCTGGGCTTGGGGGGGGGAGAGGAGAGGCTGGTCCCAGGTCACCCCCCTCCCCCATCAGATCATCTGCGCAGCTTCTCACACCTCGGGGGAGAACAGAGTGGCTATGGGCAGTTGGAGGGGCCATGCAGGTTCAGGGACACCAACCCCAGGACCCCCAACTCCCCCAGACAGAATCACCTTCCTTGTCCCAAAGCCTGATGGGGGAGGCGTGGGGGGCTCTATCCTGCAGCACTCTCTGGCCTGTGAGGGTAGTTCAGGGGGTATCTCCAGCCCATAGGGGAGATGGGTGTCTGTCTGTCTGAGGGGGGTCATGGCTGCCTCTGGCCCATGGCAAGATGTTGGTGGGAATCTGCCTGGTCCATGAAGGAGTTTGGGTAGGTCTCTGGTCCAGGGGAGGTTGGGGTGTGTGTGTCTGTCTGGTCCGTGAAGGAGTTCAGGTAGGTCTCTGGGCCAGGGGGACGTCGGGGGATCTTCCTGGTCTATGAGGGAGTTTGGGGTGTCTCTGGTCAAGGTAGAGGTCAGTGGGTCTGTCTGGTCTGTGGAGGAGTTTGGGTAGATCTCTAGTCCAGGGGAAGGTTGTGGGATCTGTCTGGTCCATGAAGGAATTTGGGGTGTCTCTGGTCCAGGAGGAGGTTGGGGGGTCTGTCTGGTCCATGAAGGAGTTTGAGGTGTCTCTGGCCTGGAGGGAGATGGGCGGAGTCAGAGGGGTCTCACCTGCATGAGTGCTCATTGAGCTCCAAGCCCCGGTCCTGGCAGTGCTGGGACCTGCGCCGGCAGCGGCACTGGCATGTCTGAGGATCCTGGCGCCTCCGTTTGTCTGAGCAGGGTGGGCAGGAGGGCCTGGGAGCAGGGAAAGAATCCAGATGATCTCAGCCCCCAGAGGCATGGTTCTGGGACCCCCCACTCCCACCTCCACACTGAGGGAAGTATCCTCTTCCTGGCCCCCCAGAACCTCTGGGGGTCCCCTGCTCTGCCTGCCATATAACAGTGGGCCTTCACCCACCCTTTAGAGTGTATAGGGAACCCCTATAGAACAGCACCCCCTCCAGCCCCAATTCAAGAGGGTCTCCACATAGGGGAGGGGGGAACCCCCTCGCCCCAATCCTCATGGTGCAGGAGGGGGCCTTGACGCTGCTGGGCTGGGTAGTCCACCCCTCCTTTGATCCCCCATGAGGTACTGGAGTGGGGGGCATGAGGAACCCCGGTTAGAAGTGAACCCCCATAAGGTGACCTGATCCTCCCTGCTCACCCCAATTCAATGCCCCCCAATGCAAGCAGAGTTAGTAAGGAAGTGGAGGGCATGCAGGGACTGGAGGGTGCATGAGGGTCCCTGGACATACAGGTGGGGGGAGTCCTGTTCAGGGGGTCTCTTCTTTTTGTGTTTGCGTCCAATGCTGTTTTTCCCCCTGGGCCGCACAGGCCTGTGGAGAGAATCAGAACTGAGCTCCCCTCTCAGCCAGCAGGGGGTGCTGTAGGGAGTGGGGTGGGAGCACTAGCTGTGGGGGAAGCTCCGGTCTGCTCCAGCCCCGGCCTCTCCCAGTAGGGGTGCGGGGAGCTGGGGGTCCTTACCTTTCTGGATTTACTTTGCTATTTGTCTTTGGTCTGCAAAAGAAAAGAGGGGACGCCAGGTTAACAGGGAAATGGGGGCTGCTGAGAACTGCCCCCCCAAAAGGGGATCAACCTATGGGAGGCAGTGCGATGCCCTAGGAAGAGAGTGGGGTGCCCCCTGAAATGGGGGGTGGCACAGTGCCAAGGGGGGGAGACCACAGCAGTCACCCTAGGAACTGGGGAGCTCACGGGCCCCCTATGTACCTCTGTGGGGCTGCCTGCCTGAGGTGGGGGGTCGCTGGCTGCAGTGGGGTGTTCAAGCTTTGGCTAAGCTTGGAGACGGTGGGGTCACAACTGGGGAAGCCCTATGGGTGCAGAGATGCTTTGGGAACCCCATCAATGCCCCCCATACTCTCAACAATGAACACCCCCCTCACCTGCATTCGCAGGCACTGTGCTCCACGAAGGCCAGCTGGTCCAGGTGGCTGTACAGGTAGCGGGTTTTCATCACCTGGGGGGCAGAGAAAGGGTGAGTGAGGGGGGCACCAAGAGCCTAGGGATGGGGGATCAGCACACCTTATGTAATGTGATGCCAAGGCCCAACTCCCCAGCATACACCTTCCCTCGGCTCCCCCCTGTGCTCTGGCATTCCCCTCCCCCGATACCCACTCTTCCCACCCCCTGGCACTCCCCTCCCCAGTGCCTGGCTACCCCCTGTCCTCTGGCATTCACCACCCCAAGTGCCTGGTTACCCCCTGTCCTCTGGCATTCCCCACCCCTGGTGCCTGGCTACTCCCCCCACAGCATTCCCCTCCCCCCAGTGCCTGGCTCCCCCTCCACCCCCAGCATTCCCCTCCCTTAGCTGTCTGCCCACCCCTGGCATTCCCCTCCCCCCAGTGACTGGCTCTTCACCCACCCTCTGGCATTCCTCTCTCCCCCTGCCCTCCCTCCCATTACCTCCATCACCACCACATGCATGCGGGTAGGCACACACTGCAGCCCCTCGTCGGCACAGCACCCAGCGCAGCGACGCAGGGGCACGCAGGAGGGTGCCAGCAGGTGCTCCACCTCAGCCGGGTGCTCCTCGCTCACGGGCACCAGCATCTCCTTCGGCTGGCAGAAGCTGCGGTTATAAACCTCCATCCACTGTATCACTGCAGGGGTCAGAGGGGGACAGTGCCGGGGTCAGCACACCCTGATAATGCCAACTGACATGGCCAAGGCACCCGCTCCCACCCCCCACAGTGTGCCCATTGACATCCTGCACACATAGCCACAGCCACCTCTGGGGTAGGGGGTGAGGGCTGATTACATAGGGATCCTACAGCCAGTACTGAGATGCAGCCACCTCTGGGGTGAGGTGCCTGTACCCCCAACAACTCCCAAATGTGCCCCATCAGCACTGCTATCCTCAAACACGTCCCCCTGCCTCGTGGCAGCAGCCCCCCAACCCGCACCTCACCCCAGTCTCTTACCTTCCCCCAGCGGGTGGGTCCCCTTCGTCTGGGGCTGTGGTGCCTGGAAAGGACAAGACGTAGGCAGTCAGGTTCTGAGTCCCAGACAATGTGTGTGTGAGGGAAGGCTGCCTCCCCAGGCTCGCTTGAGCCCCATCCCCCCTTCGTCGAGCTCGGCGGGAGCCCCCACCCCACTCCCCCTTCTCCCCCCTCCATTACACCCCAGCCTCAGGGATTCCCTCCCCTCTTATTCCTGTCGCCCCCCCCCGCCCAACCCAGAGTTGCTCCACTAACCTGCATGCAGTCAGGCTGGGTACACCCCCAAGAGACCCTACAATGACAAATCAGCAGTTGGGGGAGGGGGCGGGAGGGACAGCTCCCCCTGGTGTATGTGGGATTAGGGGCAATGGAACAATCTTTGGCTGGATGGGCCTGAGGAACTGTCCCGTCCTGGGCAGGGCAGAGAGGGGACTCACCCCCACAGCTCACTCACAAGGAGTCATTGGCCGAGCAGGAATAGAGCCCTGGCGTCCTGGCTTCTAGCCCCGCACCCCCAACCCATTAGATCCCGCTGTCCTCCCAGAACTGGGAATAGAACCCAGGAGTCCTGTCTCCCAGCCCCTCCCCCCGTGCTTAGGGGCGGGGAGGGGCACGGTGGGGCAGGGGTGAGTGGAATCTTGGCAGACCCGGAGGTCAGGGCAGCAGGAGCGGGCCAGTGGGGGTGGATCCCGTCAGGAACCGGAGGGGCTGGTCTGCTGGGGAGACCCTGGAGAGGGGGAATCCCAGGCGGGCGGGGGGCTCTTGTCTGTCCCGGTTGCCCCCTGTCCTGGGCGCTACCCCGGACACTGCAGCTCTGCCCCAGCGCTACAAGTCCCCAGCCTGCGCGCTGGCTCTAGCCACCCTCCCGCCCCACGCCCCGGGGCCCCCGGCAAGGCCAGACCGTGCGCTAGCCCCCCGGGATAAGGCGCTAACCGAGCGGGGCCCCAGTGCCTGCCCCTGCCAGGATACGGCATTCCCACAGTGCGTCCTCCACTGGTACGGGGAAAGGGCCAGGTCCCTCCCCCAGTTCCTGGCTCCCCCAGTGCCCGGATCCCCCAGTGCCCGGCTCCCTGAGCCCCCAGTGCCCGGCTCCCCACTAGTGCTCTCCTGCCCCGAGCCCCCAGGTGCCCCGCTGCATCCAGCCCCCAGTGCCCCCCTCCCACCACTCCAGGTGCCCCGCTCCCTGAGCCTCTTGATGCCCCGCTCCTCCAGGTACCCCGCTCCCCCCAGCCCCAGTGTCCCCCTACCCCAGGTACCCCGCTCCCCCGCTCCCCCCAGCCCCAGTGTCCCCCTACCCCTACCCCAGGTACC